GGAAGAATAAGCCAGATTTACCAGTTGGCAAATCCAACCCATAAGGGTAATAGGTAAAATATAACAGGAAAGAGAAGGGTTCCAATGAATAAACAAACAGGAAATAGAACCACGGATAGAGGATGACACAGGACCAGTGATATAATGTACAAGAGACATTGAGAGTGACGAAATTCAAAAGTTGACTTCCACATGCCAAGAGGAGAAAGGTCCTTAAGAAGAGATGATATAAAGAACAGTAAGATGTGGGCTTGAAGATATGAAGAATGAGGGCATAAAGGACAACACTGAGGTTCAATCAGGGAGGGCGGTAGGATGCAGGGGATGGCAAATGTGGAAGGAATGAAACAAAAGGGTGAGGACAAAAGTGAAGACACAGCGAAATCTTGTGAAATGAAAGGTGGCTGATAAAGCAATAGCGGATACTGACAGCACCTTGTCGAAAAGCCAGGGAATGAAGGAAGTCAGATGCGAGAAAATATGAGAGAACGGTGGGGAAACCATGATGAGAAGACCAAGATATATCACTTACATCGGTAAACTGACATGGAAAAAGGGTGCAATAAATGGGAAATTAAAGAAGCAGCCCTCGGAGATAGTCCGGCCTGTCTGGCAAAGGATCAGACAAAAGCCACAAGTGAAGATGAAGCGTAGGAAAGGAGGGTGGGTGAGAGGGGAATAGGAGGTGTCAGTAGGGAAGATTGCAGAAGTGGAAACGATGGCTGCGGCAGCTAAAGTGGAGTCACACAGAGGACTCAACAGAGTGGCTTGTACGACGGCAAGGACACGAGGAACAAGACAGGTGGGAGGATATGTATAAAGTAATGGCCTCCCAATCCTGACTGAGGGCATTAACAGATACAGCCAAAGGATGAGGAATAAGAGACCAAAATCTGGGAGGCTTGGAATTCAGATGGGTGGTGAATGCATTCTTTTCCAGAGTACCCCACTGCAATGTAGATGCACAAATCAATAATAACAAGGTCTGATGAGAACTACTATAAACTTCAGTTTGGACTGTATAAAGATACAAAGCTCTAGCAAGATAATTTCTCTGGAATTTCAAGATTTAATTATATGAATAAGAATAGTAAGACTATGGAAGAGAAGACTTTCTGTTTCTTCTGAAAGCCCATGGATTTGGCACAATTAAAATACTAGGATGAAAATAAAGTTCAAAGCCAGTTACTAATGCATAATTAGTGCTCAAGATATCAAGGTCAGGTCACTAGTTTCTCAAAAGCCAAGAAATGAAGGAAGTTGAGCCTTGTATGAAACAAGACTGATGACCACCATTTTTAGCGGGTTCAAAGAAGAATCATTTAAGGAGTGGAGAAAAAAAGGCATCATTTCAATCTATAACAATGTTTAGAACATATTAAAGAAGTAGTGAAAAAAAAACATGCCTGATAACCCTTATGTGTTGAGGATAAGAAAATACAGTCGTCAGCAAATTAAAAAAGGAAAATTATTACCTGTTGTACAAAGAAAGTAAAGATATCCATTTAGTTACAACATCTGAAGTATTGTTATTTTGATGAAAAGTAATGGGGAACTGATGGGTGGAATGTGGTTATATACTAACACGGTGAAAGGACTCAGTGACATCCATCTACAATGTATAAAGATTGGGATCTTTGAAATGCTAAAAATATGTTTTTCTTAGAGGTTAAATCAAAGAATCAGTGACAAAGAATGGTATGAAAGATACTTACAAAATTGAAAAATTCATGCACACAAAATTGTTGACAATAAGAGAAAACACTAGAATAACAAAAAGTTCTCCTAAAAGCCTTATATGTTTAATTTAACCTCATAATAAAAAAATTGTTAAAAAATCTTGAAAGTAAAAAAGGGTCTTTGACATATATGAAATGGATGAATTAGGATGTCGTAGAGTGTTCAGACAAAGTCTTTGAGAAAAGACACCAAAAAACAAGTAGTTTCTAGAATGTAATCTGAATTATGTGTATAATTTTGATGGGAATAGTCTTTCCAGTGTTAAAGATTTTGGCATTCTGGTTCTTCATTCTCTTAATACATCCAAGCAATGTGTTGTTGCTTGTGGCTGGGCAAATAAGATCTTAGGTTGTATTTACAGAAATATTGAATACAAGTCTCACAAGATTATAACACCACTATACAGGTTATTGTTTAAGCCACATTGGAATACTGTACTCAATCTAAAGCTCTTTACGTTAGAAAAGACATTAAATTGTTGGAAAGGATTCAGAGGAGGGCTATTAAGATGATACCTTGAATGGAAAGGTTGCCATACAAGAACAGGTTAAGATGTCGTGGTCTTCTTCGAACTTCGAAGGACAAACAACAAGATCTCTGAATTTGTTTTTTCTTGAAAAAAGAAGAGTTAAAGGAAATCTGATTGAAGTGTTTAAGATTGTAAAGGGAATTGATAGTGTTAATGCATCATCTTTTTTTTTTTTGTATTT